CCGGGTGCGGGTAGACGATGCCCGTCACCGTCGGGAAGGGCCGCAGCTCCCTCGGCGACGGCAGCTTGGGCACGAGCGACTCGGGGTCGGTCAGGTCGATGCGCTTGCGCATCATGCGCGGCGCCATGTAGAGGTCGAGGCACCGGTCGAGGCGCTCGCGCACAAAGTTGTCGTAGCCGGGCACGAGGCGCAGCGCGGCGTGCTTGGCGGGCAGGTAGTTGAGCTTGCGGTCCTCGGGGTCGGCCTGCTCCCACTCGCGGCGCTCGTCGTCGTTGAAGAGGTACTCTGCCGGCGGGTTGTACGACTCCTCGTGGCCGGGCAGCGGCAGCTTGGGCGCCGGCATGTGCATCGGGTGGTCGGCGCGCGCCTCGTCGGCGTCGGACCAGATGTTGTAGAAGCGGGGCTTGGTGGCCTTGGGCGCCTGGGGCACGATGCGGCCGCTGCGGATGGCGCGCACAATCTTCATAACCTTTTTGTGCTCCCACTTGGACGGCACAAAGCGGCGCTTGGGCTCCGGGCGGCCCGAAAGGGGCATGACCATCTCCTTGCCCTCGCCGGTGAACCACTCGACCTGGTCCTCGTAGGGGTCGTAGGCGTCGTCGGGGATCTCGGCGTTCTGGAGGCGGCGGATGATGTCGAGCTCCTCGTCGGTGAGGCGGACGTCCTTGCCCGTGGTCTCGTCGCGCGCCGAGAGCCAGGCGTCGCCGTCGCCGTCGACGGTGGCGAGGAACTTGTCCAGCTCGTCCTTTGTGGCGGGCTTCATGACCTTGCGGCCGTTGACGTCGTAGCCAATGTGGGGCAGGTCGTCGTACCACTCGAGGGGCACGTTGCCGATGCGGTTGGGCGCGTCCTCGGTGCTCGAGTCGCTGTCGTACTCGGGCTCGATCTCTGGGTAGACGCGCTTCATCTCGCCCGTGATGGCCGAGCGCTTGAACTGGGCCTTTGCCGAGCCGTCCGGGTTGCGGTCGTCGCCAAAGGGCTTTGCGGCGTGGCGTACGTCGATGCCGAGGCGGTTGTACTGGACGCCGGACTCGTCCGGCTTGACGGTTGCGCGCTTGACCATCTTGTTGAGCTCGTCGTCGATCGACGTCTGCGAGGCCGAGTCGCGGGCGAGGAACTCGTCGGCGCGCGCGTCTTCCTCGTCCGAGTCCCAGTTGTCGATGTCGCTCGAGTTGTAGGCCTCGTCGTCGTCGTCGTCGTCGTCGTCGTCGTCGTCATCCTCCTCTGCCTGGCTGTCCTCTAGCTCGACGGACTCGTCGTCTTCATCGTCATCCTCATCTGCATTGTCGTCTGCGAGCTCGGTGATGCGTGCGGTGAGCTGCTGGGGCCGTTGTTCGTCGTCGTCATCGTCGCTGTGCTCGAGGTCGATCTCGGGGAACTCTTCGGCCTCTTCGTGGTCCGATTCGTCGCCGTCTTGGCCATCGAGCTGCGCGGCGCCGTCTTCGTCTTCGTCCTCGAGCTGGATCTGCTCGTCGTCCGAGTCGAGGTGGAGGTGGTCGTGGCCGTGCTGCTGCTGCTGCTGCTGCTTTGACTTTGTGGAAGAAGAGGCAGATGCTGATGGCGCTGGCGCTGGTGTCGGTGCTGCTGCTGCCGTCGCCTTTGGGTTGGACTCGCGCTTCCTCTTTGGCTTTGAGGCCGACGGTGGTGGTGGTGCAGGCGCTGCTGGTGCTGGTGCTGGTGGTGCTGGTGATACTGCCGCCGTCTTGGATGACGAGGCGGCGCGCGAGGCCCGGGGCGCCATGTCTGTCGAAAGCTCGGTGATGGCGAGGGTGGCAGGGAGATGCAGCGGATGAGTGAGGAGTGTAGGCAGGCTGGGACGGGGCGGGTGGTGGGCGGTAGCAAGCCAGAGAAAGAGAGAGAGAGAAAGAGAGAGAGAGAGGTGGCGGGACGAAAGGAAGCGAAGCAACCGAAGGGTCGGCGTGGTCGGTGACGCCTCTATCGTGTGGCGTCGGCCGCCGCTGCCGCCGACCCTAA